CGTATTTCATCATTTATTTGTTTCCCACGTATTTCTTCATTCATTTGTTTCCCACGTATTTCTTCATTCATTTGTTTCCCACGTATTTCATCATTCACTAGTTTCAAAATAGACTCTGTTATTTGAAGAACATCGAATTCATTAGAGACACAAACCCATGCTTTTAGCTCAAACACACCTTTCAATCCTTCATCATTATAAACAAGACTAGCAAGTGAAGTCTTCCCTAATCCTCCCATTCCAACAATGGGAATCACAGAAAAGCATTTGGTACTATCTTCATTAATTAACAGCTTTTGAAGAATAGCATCCTTATCCTTTTGCCGGCCAAAAACATGACTTTCAGGCACCCCAATAGTGGAAGTCCTTTGTGTAACAGCTCTGCTAGTCCCATGTTCAATTTTCAAGTCCAATGCATCTTTCTGTGCCTTGATGCCTTCCAATCTCTTAGTAATGCCCTTTATCTTGGAAATAGTCTCCCGATCAACCTTGAAGTCATAGGGAATAGAACTACAGCCTGTGAAACATGAAGTCACTGGTATAACTTTTCTTGCCCTAATGGTGGTGGTTTGATCAGAAGTTTTTAAATTCAATTCTTGCCTTCGTGCATCAGCTTCAACTCCATGCAGGATATCCTCCATATCATAAGCTATGTCTCTAAGCTCTGAAAGCCATGTCTTTACAACGTTATTGGTTAATTGCTTCGTCTCTGCATCTTCAAGAACACCACGTATGCTCGGCAAAAGTTTTTTCCAGTTCTCTAATGCATCACGTGCCTCCTTTCTTGATTCAAACCAATCAATGGTTTTGGACTCCAACTTATTGATTAACCATTCAAAGGTGACAGATATAAGGGCAGTTCCTACTTCCATTGTGTGGAAAACTCTGTAGAAATGAACAAGAATAAACAATAAGAGTCGTCACTGAAGTACGTATTGAAGTTGTGTGAAAAAATTCAACAAAATATATACAAACCGATTATTATTAGGAGAAAATTAATATGAAACACAATTTAATATAAAATCTTGTGAAATAAAATTAAAATTCCATAATTTGTGGAGAGTTGTAAGAAGACTTGTAAAACATAGATTAATTGGAAGCATAAACGTAAATTTAGAAATTGGAGCATCTACAATACCAGACTCATTTGAGTTTCCCTTCATACCACATCATCATAATTTATATTATCTTATTTAATTCACTAATAAGAATTTTACAATAAACTCTCTTTTTCAATGCATAGAATCAAGAGAAGCTCCCCCAAAGTTACACAAACAAAGCAAGAAATATCAATCTTTAATTACCCAAAAAATAATAATAAATAAGAAAAAACAAAAAGTAAGAGGAACGTCCCACTTTGAAAAGTGGGAACAAGAACTCCCACACACAGTGGTGTAGGAGTCTCACTGAGACGGAAAACTTCCACTGTGCATACTTTTAGCCCTCTTTTAAATTTTTTTTTCCCTCTCTTATTTTATTTAATTTCTTTCCATAAAAACCTGGAATCTCGAGTTTTAAAACTATCAGGTTGTGTCATTTTTTATGTTGAATAGGTGCACGCATGATCCACCTACGATGGTTCTTGGCTTCTTGGGCGGAGGCCTTGGTAAGGCTAGGTGCACTCAATTTTTTTAAAATTAAAAGCTTTTAATCATTTTTATTTTATTTTAAAAAATTTAATATTAATAAATGAGTAATGAAGGAAATGATGAAAATTTGAAATAAAAATTTATTTATGTCATATTATTCAATTAGTTAATGCATAAAATATTATCAATCTTAAAAAAAAAAAAAAAAAAAAAACAAATTATTCAATAATGTAAAATTCACTTTCTCATATTGTAAATAAAGTAACTTATGTCACGTTATTAGTCTCAAATTTTAATCTCAAATTTTAGTTCTATTTATTATTATTCTTAATAAATTAATAGGTAAAAAATATATTACCCTACTCTCTCAATTCAAAAATAAATGTCATTATTTGATTTTGAATTTATTATTAATATTTTTTTATTTTTTAAGATAAACATTTTTTTTATTTTGACTTTATCATTATCTTTCATTTTAATTAATTATTCTATTACAAAAAAATCTTCCTTTATTTTTTAACTTCTTTTGAGAATAATATAACATAAATACATAAATTATCTTTAAATTCTTAATTTTTTCAAAAAAAAGTAAAAACGAGAATTATCTTAAGACAAATGGAGTATAAAATTAAATTTAATGATTTAATAAATAATAACTTTACATTTTAAATTTATTTTTTATTTTAAATTTAATATTAAGGATCCGTTTGGTATAACGATTTTGGAGTAGTGATTAGTTGTTTTACTTAAACCGTTAAGCATAAGAGTTCGATGAATTTATATATTTCGAAACCGCTATAAACAAAGTGTTTGGTAAAATTTATACTTAACAGTTTCGGCCTACTAGATAATGATTAGAGTTTAAATCATTAGCGGATTGAAAAAACTAATTTAAGGGCATATTTGGTATAGCAATTTTGGGATAGCGGTTAGTGGTTTTACTTAAATTGTTAAATATAAGTGTTTGGTAAATTTATATATTTTGAAATCGCTACAAATAATGTTTGGAAAAATTTTTATTTAGTGGTTTAAAACTAACGGATAACGATTAAGGTCCAAATTGCTAGAGGATTGAAAAAACTAATTTATATAATTTTTTGTACCAAACCGCTAGTAGATTAAAATTTTAATTTTATTGACAAATTTATCCATTTTAATTTTTTAATTGTGGTCACATTTTTTAATTAATAATTATCTAATATATTTTAATTTTATTTTTTTACCTTTAATAACATTAAGTGATTATAATATTTTTTGTACATTAATTTATAATTAAAAATATATTATTTTTAAAAAAATTATATTAAAAAAATAAAAATTAACTTTTAATTTATTAATTATTTAATTAAGTTATTTTCTGTAAAATTAGTGTAAAAACTTAAAAATAAAATTTATTTTTATAAATTTTTTATATAAATTAATAATGAAATAATACAATAAATATACCCATCTACAATTTAGAAATACCTTATAAAGTTTATGTTCTTGGATTTTTTGCTCTGGTAATGGTGTTGGCATGCTTTATGAGGACAATAATTTCTTTTAGTTTGGAGGCTATTTGGTTTGGGAGATTTTATAACTATTTTTTTATTTCTTTGATAAGAACACATTAACATTGTGAAAGAAAAAATTCACCATTCTTGAACAACCTGCTTTCTATATATATATATATATATATTATATTATATGTGTGTTTAAGAGAGACAAACTATATTAATAACCATATATGATTGAATCATGCTTTCAAAACTGACATTAGTGTTATCTTAATAATCATATAGGTTGTTGCATGAGTGTTACCATCTTTTTTATAGGAGTTTTCTATGTTCACCTATTTTTATTTCTGTAGCACTTTTTTTTTAAAGATAAATTTATTTTAGTTCTTTTAATGACGTCCAATATAGCTACCATAGCAAAAGAAATAGACACAAATTCTTAGCCACCATGAATTGAAGTTTTGACTTTTAATTCTATTTTGTTGATATCAATGTTATTATTTCAATTCAATTGGACTTGATTTTGTATAGGTTCATATCTCTCTCTGCCTTTCAGTATATGAGAGTTTGGTGCTGTGAATAAGTTGGATGCATAAAATAAATGAAAAATAAATATATTTAATAATATTTTTATAAAATAATAATTAAATTTAAATACATCAAATAAAAAATTAATACCACTAAAATTGAATAATTGAATGGGGCAGTAATTATTTATATCAGTCGTTCACGTGGGAAAAGAATAGAAGTAGTGGAGCAAAAGTCTTAGTCGTCCAAGTAGTTATTTAATATGTTATTAAGGATATTCCCACCTTGTAGCGGAATCGCTTTAGACCTAATTAGTCAAAAAGCAAAAAGCAAAATTGTTGCCTCGGGCCAACTTGTTTCCTAAATTGACGGTAGAGATTCAAATTGATTTACCTTTGATTTTTATACAACGTAGTGTCTTTTCCAATGAGTGCCTCTCTCTTTTCCTTTCTTTTTGTCTTTTCTTTTACATTTTTTTCCAAGGAAAATTATATTTCGAAAGCTTATTTGTTGTCTGAAATTATAATAATTTAGAACCTGAATTTACTCATTAATTTATTCATTTCGAGGTGAGAAAGCAAGTTCACAAATATAATAATGCATTGCATATGGGTCAGCCTTTCGGCGGGAGATAAGGATACCAAGAAAAATATATTTTTTTGATATATTAAAAATTAATTATTTAATATTATAAAAGTACAAATTTTATATTTAACTAGTAATCCGCACTCCACTATATGACTTGTCGAGAAATTTAAGTTAATGAATAAATTTTTTAAAATAAAGCACTCAAAAATAGTGCATAATTAAAATAAAAAACAACAAAAAAAAAAGTAAAATAAACTGCCCACTAATTCTATGAAGTACAAAAATCAAATGAAATAAAAAATAGTGCATAATTAAAATAAAAAACAACAAAAAAAGTAAAATAAATTGCCTACTAATGCTACGAAGTACAAAATTCAAATGAAATAATAGCTTACAATAGCTAGTATATTCCTTTCTTTTCATTATAGTAGAAAAAAGGAGAGAGAAAAAGATCAAAAGGAGGGCAGAAAGAAAAGAGTGGATGAGTAACAGGTGAAAGAAGCAATGACCTGTGTAAAACAGCAAAGGGAAAAGTTTGAAACGCAGACCCCTAAATACCAGCTAAAGAAAAGAAGAAAGAATGGTTTATTTAGTAAACAACCATTTTGTCCCTCACTACCTAGTCAGGAGGGAAGTTACAGGGGGGAAATTGAAGGGTAAAAAGGTGATTTTAAATATGGAAGATGATGGTAGGACAGAGGATTTTAGGATAAAAAGACCACAATACCCCCAAAACAGACCTAAAATAGCAAGCACATTATGTGAACCACTTTCGAGGTCAAATGGTAATTA